TTTCCTGATTTAAAGATCTAGAACAATTTCTCTGTGCTGCTTTATTATTATTAATAATAATACTCTATTAAAGACTATGCAGGGGTGTTTTTGTGGTAAAAAAAGAGGAGTTGCTATTTAAATAGTATAGATGCTTTTTTGGGGGGGGGGTAACCTGATCATAAACGGGATTCACTAATTATGCAAAGATGCAGTCCAATTTGGGTCTGTGGATTAATCAGGCAAACTAACATTTGCCATGGAGTTTATTCCTGCAAGTCATGCTGGTCTGTCAATTGAACGGCAAATCACACAATCAAGTTACCTTATCCAGACCCTATCACGGTTAGAACAGATTCATTTCTTCGACTTCAAAATGCTACAGTGAGCACCCTAAAAGTACTCTGTTGTGTAATTTGTAATAATCTTCTCCAGATATATATATTTTTAATACACAAAGCTGCTCAGAAGCAGCTCTTAAACAAGTTGAAAGAGGCTACGGGGGTATGCAAGGTTTCTAACCAACCATGTATATTAGTGTGTTTTATGATAAATTATTAATTTAAATGAGCCATCCTTACCAATTATTACTCAGGGCTTCTAATCTCAACATAATTTAGTAAACAAAAGAAAAAGAAAGCTAAAAAGGCAAATAAAATTGTAGACAAAAATTCTTTAAAAACAAGGTATGTTATTTCTGCCAAAAGACCCTAGGTAGTCACTTTGAAAGTGGCTTCTAACTATTTAGTAAAATTGGTAACGTAAACTTAGTTCTACTGGCACACAGAATCACTAGCAGCAATGATCAATGCATGCAAACTGAGAAGCATTTACAGAAAATCATTAGGAATAAATTCATAAACCCTTTGAGTATTGCATTTATGTTTCATTGTACATTAATTTCAAGAGCTTGAAACAAAAGAAAGGTTTGCTTTTTTATTTTTTTGTCTTTGCATTGAACTAATGTCCAGTGTCTTTAAAATAAACATAGCGGGAGCATGGATCATTTACTGTTAACTGCTTGGGATCAATGCACTTGAATGCTGTACCATAGCATCTGCATTCTAAACTTACACAACTTGAGACCCACCAAATCAAATGCACAGTTGTGATCTAGGAGTTGCTACTTGTCAATTTACACAACTGCAATAATCCTGGGCAGGCAGCAAAACCAGAAGTTTTGTTCAGCCTAATTTGGGGTAGCATACATAACTTGTAGGCAGTTTCTGTCTTGGTTGGCTCCAAATCTGATCTAGAAAATGGTTTGATGTAGGCCTAATTCTTATATGTTTTAAAAATCCACTATATCACTTGTGGCTTATCTCAACCCGAACACTGCCTTAAATCTAGAATTCCATAAAAACATCCTTGTCTATGTTCAATAATAAACTTGGAAGTGGTAGATTATGCTAAAATAAAAGTACGATTCAACAGTTGCATGTGTAGTGGTAAGCCTGTCTGCGTACACACAAATAGCATGAGAACCTTACTAGAGGTTCTCATGCCATTTGAAAGGCAAGACACAACTTGCCTTTCAGTTGCAGAGAGTTTTGCAATAGAGTATCTAATTCACTTCCAAGTCCAGACAATTTTGTGACTATGGATACATACACGTCCTTTAGACTGCAGTCCTTGGCAACATCCAGTGGATGGTGGTAGATAACAATGGTTTAACTCCAAAGTTCAAGTCTTTGACATACAGGTTATATTTACATCTTTTGACACTAACTAATGATTTCTCAACTACCTGGAAATAATTTTTAAACAAACATTTAATTGTGAAATGTTTTCAAAGCCAACATCTTGGATCAAAAAACCTATAATGGTAGAAATACTTGCTTTTATAGGCAGTACATATTAGGGGAAGGAATCCTTTGGGCTTCCAGATGTTGCTGCACAACAGCTCCCACACATTTGGTCATCCAGACCAATGGTGAGGGATGTCAGATATTGTGGCTCAGCTACCTGTGAACAAGCATATGTTCCCTACTCCTGGTAAAATGGCAGTGAATAAATTAAACTCAGATGCCTACCTCAAAGTATTTAATGCTGAGTGTTTGCAAGGAAATCAAAACACAGGAATCCTTAATAGATAATGCCTAGGATGGTTCACATTTACATTCAGATTATACAGGGAAATAATATGTTGTTTTATGGAAGGGGAGGTAGTCAGTGGTCTCTGGGTGAAGCACAAATCCTTGGGTTTCTTTGAAAATCAGACCTATATACTGAATCTGTTCTGGGGAGCGGGCATTGTGCGCTCAAACGATCTCAAGACTCTTAGAGATTCACATCAATTATATTTACTTACAATGCTCAAAGGGTTAATTCAAGGCATTACCATCAAAAGAATGTTCTAATACTAGAACTAAGCATTGAATTTATGCTTCTGTTCCAGTTTTTTTTAGTCACTAACAAATAACCTAGCAACAATACTAGAATTCCTTTTCCTTTAAACCATATACACAGAGACTGACCTGTAATGCAAGAATGAGGGCCCAGTTTTCAAAAACTGGTACTGCTTTCACAAATCAGCATTAAGTGTTCTCAAAGTGTTACATAGTGTTATTTGGCCTGTCAAATCTATGAAATGATTTAATATTTTGCTGAGAAATCATTTGAAAAAAGTGTTTCTAATGTTTGTGAATACCTCGTTTTTAAATTAAAGAAATTATATGTAGACCTATACATCCTCAGTACTGTTTCAATTGCTATCATCCATTGTGAACCAAATGTGGTCACATTGCACAGCAGTACTGTAGATTTTTTAATGGATAAATGATTTCTAAAGTAGTGTTATAATTACATGTCATAATACAAAAATAAGTACAAAGAAAAAAAATGCAGGACAGGACAAAAAGATTAAGGTGACAGCACCAAAGATTTTGCATTCCTGAAGAGATTATGAAAACTGGGCCCCGTTTCTGAATACAAATTTTCAATAGAATTATCAGTATTGATCACTGCATTACTTGTTCAAGAGCCAAAAAGTCTTAATTAATTTAAAAAAATAGTATTTAAAACAACTTTTTAAGACAAATTGTTCTCAAATATTATTAGTTCATTTTCTTGCAATGTTCCCCAAAGTGCTTCAATTAAGCTATTCCTCATTTTTTTTTTGATGAGTACATATTCCTTGATTATTAAGATCATACTGGATTCATGGCATAATGTGAAACCATTTACGGAACCTTCAGTGAAAACTGTCTGGCATGGCATATCAAGTACAAAGAAGCTGCAACGAGAAGAAAAATTTGGGGAAGCCCTGGTATTTGTACAGAACACTAGGGCATTTGCATGGGATTATCTGAATCCCAGCCCTCATACATTTCATTTTGAAAAATGTATATAACACATAGGCACAAGTAGTACAGTGTCAGAATGCTATCTAAAGTGAACTGGTTTATATTGAAGAGCTTCTGAAGATAATGCAAGTCAGTTGGCCATTTTGATTTATAATTCTTACTAGACAAAAAATATTTTAAAAATATTCAGGGACAAAGATGCACATGAACAATGATTATTCTGATTCATGATTAACAGAAGCTCTTCTAATGTTTTTTGTTATCTGTGTTGCTGACTTATTGGAGCATTTCGGAATATATTCTGGACACTGATAGGTTGTGAAGTTTCATTGTCTGTATGGTCCACAGCAGACCAGAATTCCAGGATATGATGTTAGATAACAATAAATATCAATCTTTTTGGCACATTGAATACAGTGATCAACTAGAAGGGGAGTGGTCTGGAAAATCTATCATAAAAATTTATAGCCCTGTCTCTCTCAGAAAAGTAAATTTGCATCATTTTCATTTTTCTGCATGAACAAATTCCAGTATTCAGGACAAAAGAAGATAGTGATACAGAAACACAGGTTTGTCATCCAGGAAGGATAGTATCAGTAAATAAATCATATTTAACATAGAACTTTAATAGACTCTCAAAAAAGATGCTGAAAAGTGTTTCTTTGTTTCTACATTTAATTTTACTGTATTTAAGTGTAAACATTTCATAATGCACAATGAGAGGGAGGAACTATCACAGCTTAGTTTTTAAAAAATTGGTGTGGGGTGTAGATGTGATGGATTTTGATGGGGAAAAATAAGAACATATTCCAATAGCAGAAAGAACAAAATTATAATGAAATGTATCAGCATGTTTAACCAAATGGCAGGAATTACTAGGCACAATACCTAGTTCGGCCCAATTTTGCAATTCTAAGCAATTCTTAAAGCTTAGTTTTGAAGTAGAAATAGTCAAATAAAAAAAAAAAGTAAATATTTAGGTATTCTTGATATACGTAAAATCAAGGATGCAACCTGTATACTAAAAATATATCAAAAATTCCACCTGCTGTTCAAGCATTTGGTGATAATCTTGAAAATTGTCTTTCAAACAAACAATAAACAAGACACTAATATTTTATATAGGTCTTGCTATAAAACCTGTAAATCTTCTTTGTGCTTTCCTTCATTTTTGGTTTGTTTTGGTCAAACTAAGGAAAATCACATGTCTTTTAAACCAATAAAATGTGTAATGCATTCTAACTAGAACAGCTTCATGAGAATAAAAGGGAAACAACATATACTATGAATGAACCATTAAATAAAATAGCAGACTGACCCCCCCATCACCATATGCACTATTGAAACTATACGCTGCTTTTTTAAAAATGTTGCTTACGTTACTTTTTGAAATTAAAAGTAGATAAGGGTTTAGAAATATATATATATGCATATATATTTATATATAAGTATATAAATTCTTGTCTGGGAATTAGCTAATCTATTCTGTTGACCTTTGACACTGTTAAAGCTAGTTTGTTTTCCACCGTTTTCCCCCAATCCCACCCCACCCCAGAACATCTGATTAGTAATAAAGTGAAGTTCAGCTATAAATAAGAAAGAAAAAGGCTGTCACTCTAAGAGGGATAGTATATCTAATTTTCTTTTTTAAAAAAATCTTGATATCTGAAGTATGTAACCTGCCCTTACTGTTTAGGGAATCTGAAGGAAAGAGGGGAAGAAAGAAGAAAGAAAGAAGACAGGCACACTTTGTTGAATCAATGTAAGAGTTATTAACAAGAAAATCTTAGCTTCAGTTCTGTTTAAGGCACCATGTAATAGCCGAGGTACAATGATCCCTGATGTACATTCTTAAATGGCAATGGTCCATCTAGCCACCTATTCAAATTCTACGCAATTGGGAAATAAGTACAAGTGACATGTGCCAGTTTCACTGCCTTTAAAACATTTTATATAAAATGAAATCCACTTAAGAACCAGGAATTATTCTGAGCAAAATTACAATGCAGGTTGCTACATTCCTTGCATCCTATAAACTATCTTTAACAAGAGCAGCAGGTTGAACTATCATGAGGAAAAGGACATAGAATTAAAAAGTCATCTGAAAGGAATGGTTTCCTGCATGTCCAGTTCAGCATAAGTAGCACATACACTTTAAAGAAGGAATCAAGATGCTTTTTTAAAAAAAAACTTCAGTAGCCAACGTCCCCACTGAAGAGCAGAAAGCATCTGGGTAGTGGTCCCATATGTATATGAGGTGCAGAACCCAGCAAATGCTTCTGTAACATGACCTCCACTCATTCAAAGATGGTCACGTTCTCACTGGAAATCAAAGATACGAATCTTGTAAAACTCTAATTAAAATGAATGGAGGTTTGCACAGAGTCAGTTTTTGGGCAGAATGTACCTGAAATCAGTAGTCTTATGAGAGAGGAGCTAGTATCCCAAAATTTGAAACTGATTTAAGGAAGCTTGAATTGTCCATAATGGTATCATCTGTACCTTTATTAAGTACACATTACCATGTGCTATCAGAGCTCTCATTTATCCTGCAAACAGTGAGAATCACTCTTCCTCTGAGAAAGAAGACAATCTATGTTCTCTAGAATTATAATAAATCTTCCAATATATCTGTTGAGCACTCTGAAATGTATCAAAATAGTTATTTTCCAGTTTTCTCCAACGAAAGCTGCCTTTTAATAATAATTCTAACGCAGCTGCTATCAAACGAGCGTACCTCCAGTGTAAATCAAAGAGGAAAATTCTTGATATTTCAGAGTGCAATTAATTAAAAACCCTATTTATACGAAATCACCATGACTAACAATTAACATTAAAATATTTTGTAAAAACTATGAAAAAAATTAAATTACTTTTAATTATAAAGAGGACAAAAACATTAACATTAATCTTCGCAAAAATGCTTCTTGACTTTTGAAACTAAGAATTTTTTTTATATTAAGCGGCCAGTGTAAAATGATTGTATTTACCTTCCCCACCCCACCCCAAATCTGACCAAATACATAGACCCATTCCATTTCACAACTCCAGCAAAAGTACAGATAAAATTTGACAATAGTCGACTTTCAGAAATCTTTTTTTTTTTTGCATCCCTTCCATCCCCTATGATATGCCCAACATCAAGAGGGCTAATACAATCTGAAAAAAGAACTTTAAATATTTGTTAGACCGCAGTATATGTATTTCCAGTCGCACTACACTGTCTGATCGTTTGAGTAGCTGTGACAATGTGCTCATTGTGAAGAGGGTTCAAAAGGTTCTGCTGTACTCCAGTCTCAAGTACCGGTTGCAGGCAGCCCACCTGAAAGGCCTGGCTAATTTCAGTCTTCTCTCGCTTGGCTTGAGGTTCTCCAGAGTCATCCAGCTCTTCATCTATTTCACTTTCAACTTCACTGCCTTCATCTGCACAAATAAAATCACCATGAATCCTGCAATCTGAAAGAGCCATGTAACAATCAGATAGAAAGGCTTAACAACTCTAGCAAAGTGTCAAGTTACTGGAATTCTGTGTCCAAATCCAATCCTAGGTAAATTATGTATGTGCACTCCAACTTTCTCCTTATTAATTAGTCAGCCTTTGTATTTGTAGATGAATGCTTATTTCCTGGCAACATCTTAAGCTCCAATCTTTATATTTACTATGGAGGCTGCAAGTAAAGGAATCATCCCCTTTCTGTGACTAGAAATCGCGTGTTGTGTATATGGAAATGAATCCTTATGAGCCCAATTTTTTACCATGTTTTGTAACTACTTCTGTGGAGACTGTTCTCTTACTTCCATAACGGATCACTAGGACTTGAACCAGTGCACAAGTTCAATATTGTACAGGTGGTCCTCATTTAACGGCCATTTAGTCTCAACATACAATGGCACTGAACAAGTGGTAATTACATTTGGACCTTAATACTTATAGCCGTCACAGCATCCTCACAGTCACAAGATTGTGATTTTCAACTTTCTGTGCTGGCTCCTCACAAGGAAAGTTAATGGGAAAGTTGGCAGGGAGTCAGAAGTCATGGTCATGTGAAGTCCTTGCTCACAAAAAGCAACCAGGACCACCATCACTAAGTAATATGAACACATGTCTCAAAGGTGCTTGCCTTTTGAAAAAGCACTTTTGGGACAACCATGACCTGGATGACTGAGAATCTCCACAGAGAGTACGATCACATGGCTTTTTTCCACTTTAAACTACACTCCTAACAATGGAGTTTCCAGTCCCCATTAGTGTTGCTAAGTGACGACTACCACTATCATACCAAATTCAGTTGAAATTTGTTCATGCTGTCAATAAATTAAATTGATATTATGTTTCATTGAGTGAAAGAACCTTTGTATAAGATGCTGTTCCTCAGAATCCCACTGATTGGATTCACGAATCATGCAAATCATAATGTGACCAGACTATGGGTTAGTATGTTATATGAGACCCTCATCAATTGCAGTTTACTTAATAAAACAGATAAACTATAGTGATCACTGTAGTTCACTGTAATCTTTTAAAAAAGTCTCCCAACCTTCAAAGTAAGCTTTCAGATTAAGTAGAAATGCAAATGCAAAAGAATGAATAAGTTAAGAGAACAAGGAGTAGCATACAAATCAAGTAAACAAATACATTTATAATTTCCTAATCAAGTTGAAGATATGTAGGATGTGTATACTAACCTTTGTCCATGGTCCCAGGAGACGCAGCATTTAAATCACCAAACTGTGGAAGAAAATCAAAATAGCAACTTTTAATACAATACATTATGCTAGCATTTTCCATAGTTAAATCCTCTGTGAAATCTAATCAGAACCATGTTTCCCAAGAAATATGACTACTTTTTATTCACAAATGGAACAATCCTTCAGATTATGCCATTCCGCGGAGGGGGGGGAAAGGGGGGTGTTTATGACAATTTGCTGCATCTAACTTGCCAACGTAACCTCACCACAGCCAACTTGCTCCTGTGGCACAAGAGTTACACTAATATCAAAGAAATGGTAGAATAGAATCATTTAAAAAAGGATGAAAAAATAGGGACAAAATGAAATATGAATGACACAAAATAAAATATTTTTATTTCTTTATTTTAAATAATTAAATAAATTGCCCCCGCGGCTAGTTGGCCATGGCGAATTGCCCCATGATGAGTTGGTCGCAGCAAGTTCTTAGAACTTTTTCTTCACCGCACACCCACTCTTTAAATACCTTTTATGGAACCGGACCACCAAGACTTAACTCAAGGTACTCAAGATAACTCAACTCATTTAATGCTAACATTTTTTCCAAGCCTTTGCGGACCCCATGTGACAACATCATGGCTCCCGAGGGATTCATGGACCATAGTTTGGGAACCACTGGCTTAGAGTAGGTTGTAAACCACTGTTTTACATAAGCAATCTAGATTTGAAAGAGGCTCGATTCTTCTGAAATGCATATCCAGCTTCTGGTTTAAAAAGGAGACTAACAGGAATGGAACCAGAGCATTCTTAAGTTGGAAATCAATGACGTGGGCTCAGCTTTGGTCAACTCTAAATCATTTCTCCTAATTATTTGAGTTTCAGTCTCATGAAACTATTCTGTGCACTATGACAACAACCAAAGCAATATGTATGTATGTATGTATGTATGTATGTATGTATGTATGTATGTATGTATGTATATATGTATATATGTACGTGTGTATGTGTGTGTGTATGTATGTATATATGTATAT